TTTCGTGTGCTGCGGAATCGGAGAATTGAGCGGAAATCACGGAGGAATATGTCGTACTTAGGCCTCGATCCTGACACAGGCCAACCAGCATCACATACCCAATTTCCTCTTCAGAATTAAGTACATAAAACACAAGGTCTTACACTACCTAATGTTACATTAATTCTGGATAGTCATGTGTCCAAGCATATGTTGCTATTAGTTGCTGTCAGACAGGAACAACCTCAATATAGCTTCCTTGCCTTGCATAAAAATGCATTCATCACTGATCCAAGTGTAATCAAAGAGTATACCCGTTTGCAAGAATTAGCCAAACAACATTTAAGATGGTTAATTTGACAATGATGACAATAACCTTGCATCATGTTTAAACAGTCAAGAGATTCTTATTCAATGCTTGCAATACCATTTACATAATTATGTAAACAATTTAAAAAAACAACCAGGCCTTATGTAAGTTATGCAGTTCCTTTGTGTATTTACTCTTTGTGATGCCAGACAAAGCTTTGTAAAGGGGGTTCTGGCCTTAGAATGACAGAATTCTCCAGATATTTAGTTCGCGCCAGCCACGGACGGTTCGTCCAACGAGAATTAAGGCTTGATGAGAAAAATCATGTGACTGCCCGCAAAAACGTGCTTCCTAAGTTATTAGTAATATGAAAAATATCGGACTTTGATTCGTACATCATATAACTAAATTAATCGAACACAGAAAAATCTGGTAATCACATTTCCAACTTTGTAAGTGAATGAGTGGGAGTTTTCTGTCGAGTTTTTCCAACCTATAATATTATGACCAGCTATCACTTCACTATATAACCGTAATTGAGAACTTATGTTGTTAATCGTTGGACAGAAAGACGAGCTGATCAATGCAAATGGTATCCAAAAGTGAAACAGTAATCTATTACTTTCCATTTTGGACTTCAAGAAAAGCGCATGTTGAATATGTCTAAGTGATGATCTTCATTAGCCAGCCAATAAGATCAAAGTTTGTAAGCGTTATTGTTTAAACTTAATTTGTCACTTGTTGAAAAGTAAAGTCAAACAACAATCAACATTAGACAAATCGGGCATAGATAACATAACAATAACAATAACATTAACAATAACAATAACAATGATATTATGCATACCATCAGCCGATTTCAGCATCAGCCGCGACAATTACTACTTGTAGTTAATCATGATCTGCGTCACAATGTTGATCGACTCACCCTCACAATTCAAGGGTGCCTTTCAGACTAATGCATGCATGATGTGCACTGATTTTTTCTGCCATGTTCCATTTATGGGACCAAACGTGTATTTGACAAACTCTGTGCCACGTTACGTTATAGTTCCTTGGCAAAATGACCTTGCCCGCTTGGCGTTTACGTTTTCTTGAATAATGGATATCGATGACAGTGAAACTGATAGATTGTCCAAACGAGCGACAAATGACACGATTGAGCCAACAATTTCAAACCTATCGTCATCTTCTCGTCCAAGCGAAAAGTCTAGTTTGTCGATTCAGCCAGAATGGTATCAACCAGGCGAAACGAGGATTGACATATCTCTGTCATCCGAACCTACATCAGAGTCAATAGATGCGTGCACGTTTTCGCCTGACGGGAATCATCTGGCGACATATTCAGGAGCCGATGGAAAGATTACTATATGGAGTGTAGATGAATTGCATCAGCTACAACCTACTTGGGTTAGCACTGAAAACACTATTCTGAGTCCGAGACAATATTTGAAAAAGACGAAAAGCTTTGCTCCATTGTTTACTTATGAACAGAATATGAGCGATGTCGATTTCGCCTTATCTAACGGAGGTAATTGTTTGCGAATGAAGGGAATATATGACGTCAATCATTCGATGTTTCGAAGATATGTCAATTAATTATAATTCTGTTCTACGTACAGGTCAATTTGTAGCTCTCAGCACTATTAAACTTCCTCAGCAACCCGAAGATCCGACTCCCTTTGAACTGGTCAATCCTCCTCCCACCAAACTCAATAGGTTTTTCACATATGTTGTCAAGACTACGCGTGATTGGCCTGAATTCGGGAGTTCTTTAATGGGTCTGAAAGGAGCGATTAGATTCAGTTCCGATAGTAAACAATTCATCTTGGCTGATGTAGAGTATGATTTATTTATGGGTGAAGAAGATGGAAACTATCTTTATATATTCTCAACAGTTGATTGGATAATAAAACACAAGGTGGTTATCGATGCCTTTGCAAGCACATTGCAAGTCGCACCTCATCCGTGGACACAAATAAAATCAGTAAAGAACTCGCTACTGGAAGAGTATTTTGTATATGTGGAACAAGTAAGTGTGGGAAATCATTCTGGAAATTAGGTGATAATAAAGGTCATGTTATTTAAAAACTACGAACTTTGATACGACTCAACCCAACCTCTTTCTCATAGTGGGATACTGCATCTCTCTGGTCGATATCCACAGGTCAGCTGATAACTCGTTTTCGATGCTTACCAGAAGACACGTTCTTAGGGGCAGATGCACAACCAACCATATTTTCTCTTTCTAACAATGGAGAAATGCTCGCCACATGGACATCGCGAGGAGTACTCACTATATTCCTACGTGAAGGAGGTCTCGTATTCTCATCTTCGTTAACAAGTGATACAAAAAACTCTAATCATACCGACTCAATAAAGAAAAGTGTGATATGGCTTGAGGGAGACGAGCATATAATGACTGTTAATGCGGTGAATACTGAGCATAAGATACAAATATGGAACGTCTATTCTTGCGACATTGTTAATCAATATGACAACTTGGGAAATATGACAGTATTTCAGCCGGGGGGAACAGGATTATATGTTAGTTATGATGGAAAGATTCCAATTGTTAACAGAATTACTTTACCAATGACGGAAATAGAAAAAGAGCTCGCGACGGATATTATGAAAAAAACAGAAAAAGTGGTTGAGAGGCATAATTTCTTGGAACAGGGATTTACAAAAGTTATTTCATACGATGGCGACCGATTATACGAATCAGGTCCAGGATATGAGAGGGACCCTGTACTACGAAATGACCACCCCATTGTTGAATTGAGAATAGAACCGTGGAATGTATATAATCCTGTTAAATCAGCATTTATACTTGATGATAAGGGTGAGCGAGTATTGTTTATTGGCAAGCAGACAGTACAATTATGGATATTTGGATCAGGTGCCAAACCCCGTTTGCAGTATATATGGTGCAAACCATTGAAAGATAATGACCGTAAAGTACCTACCACCGTGTATGCCACAATCAAAGAAGCAATTTTGAAGAAAGTGCAAGGCGATAGATTTGTTCTCCAAGTAACTTACACAATCTCTAGTAAAGATAAACGTAGCTTTTCCAAGTTTGGTATTCAACCTACACACGAATTCTCGCTCAGAGAACGTATACAAAGAGTCAAAAAACGGCCACGCAATATAGAAGCCATTTCTGATAACGAATCGAGAGAAGAAGAATTATTATTGCCGAGCGAGGATGAATTTGCCACGTTCAATACAATTACGCACACATCCTATGTTCTAGGATTCTTGGATCACATCGAACGTAAATACTGGATTCAAATCGGTTCGGACAATAGCGGTCACCATTTCCAAGAACTTCTTCAGCAGTGTAGCAATATTATTTACGATGCTATTCAATCACATACTCATTTATTTAATCAGATAGTAAAAGGTCAATCACCTTTAGAAGTATTAATCAGATGTGACTGCAAACACACGGATAAGATGATCAAAGCTTTGTTAAAGACGAACAAACATATTCCTCGATTCCATGATAGCGATCGTACCAAATCTGCTCTCTCCCGTGCCATATCTTTGGGTAAAACTGAAGTAGTGCATTCTATGTTGAACTACTATTGCAGACGAGCATCGGAAAATCCAGTGTCATGGACAATTACTGTCGTCCCGGCATATAACAAATTAAGGTTAATGTATCCGGACTTTGCATTGGAAGTGATGGAAAAGCTCAGTTATTTGCCATCGACTAAGAATATTGAAAGGAGTGACAGAGAAGAGAATTTTGCATTTTCAAAGGTTGAGGAACTAGCACACGAAGCTGATGACACTACATGGCAGAAATTCAAAATGTTATATCATAAGAGTGAAAGACGGATCGATCACGAGGTAAATTATGAAACAAGAAATATATTTGGCGAGTCATTATCATTAGTTCTAAATGAGTAACAAATTTTGTATTCTATTTTCAAACGAAAGATTGAAAAGGCCAATGATCTCATTCGTATTCCGCATAAAACTCATCCGGCTCGTGAATGCGTTGTCCCCTTACCAGGCTTTACTGTATATCGGACTCCACCCAAGAAGACTGCTAAAAAACTATCCAAATCTAGGTTCCCTCTCTTACTCAGGTTTATTGACATGTTTAGATGGCGTAGACTTCGCTCTCCGTTTGTTGAAACGGTTCTATCTGGTCGATACGATATATTTGGTGAACCTGCCATGGAGGCTGTCATCAATTTCAAATGGAGGAAGTTTGCTAGGGTGCGAATTTTCTGGTTTATCTTTATATATGTATTGTATGCTGCCGCATACGCGACTGCTATCACTCTGAGTTCTCCCGACAACCTGGAATTAGTCTCTTCGAATACAATCAAAACTCTTCTGTATTTGGTACTGGCTATTGGTTCTGGAAAACTTGTCTTAGAATTGGCGAAGATATATGGACAATGGGAACATTATTGGTATAACGCGTATAATTACATTAATTTGGCTTCCACCATATTGCCACTTTTGTATTCCACAAAGTTGTTGGATAATCCATATGCTCATCAGCCGCCGTATGTTGGGGCATCTTTGTTCTTTGTCTACGTTAACCTAGTAAGTATTGTTTATAGTAATGGTTGCATGAATTGTCTCAAGCTTGCTCAATTTGCCTAACATTCCAGTCGTTTTCTTTGTTAGATTTTACAATTCCGAGTGTTCAAGTCATTTGGAATATCGGTGTTCATAATATTCCAAATATTCCGCAGAGTAATCTGGTTTATTGTTATTATTGGGCTAATGGTGCTAGCATATGCACACGTGTTCCTTTTATTATTTCAATATCCGGAAGTTTTAAATGCACTAGTTGCTAATTCTACAGCACCAGCAACTTTTGACAATTATTTTATGTCACTGGTTACGATATACTTTTTTGTGGTAAGTAATGGATGTTTTTATTTCTCGGTTTCACTTTAGGGTGACTACCACTACGGTAGATTAATCCTGAATATCATAATGACTTTCACTAGACCGGCAACTTTAACTCGGCTAATGATGCATTCAGTGACCCCACGATTGCGACTTTAACAATAGTATTCTCGTTCACAACCGCAATCATATTGTTGAATATTTTGATTGCGCTGATGAGCGATGTCATTGAAGTTACCAAGACGGATGGCAAATGCGCTTGGCTTCAACAAAAAGCGGAGGTAATGCATTCATGAATATAATGAATGTTCCAATCAATTAACACAGAGAACATATTGATAACAGTAATCTGGCAATAATTATGTAGATTATAGCTGCAGTGGAAATGTATATGCTTTTACCAAGCCAAAGAAGACGAACAGACTTTTTCCCGAGTCTTATTTATTACCGTGCAAACCCCGATCTTGTAAAAGCATATAAAAAACGACGGCAAGACCCAAAGATGGCCAATGATGAAATCTATCATAACGTCGATGAGTTTGTTAGCACTGACGCTCTTCATGTTCATTCTGACTATGACGAGAGTATCGATGAGGTAAATATTGGATGATCATCACTCCGAACGCTTCACTTTATTAATGCCCTTTCTGGCTTACAGGTTAACCATTCAACAAAACCTTCAATATGGACTTCAAAGAAGAGCTTGCCTAGCGATGCAGCATCAATAGTCTCAACGCGCTGACATATTAATATTCTAGTAGTTTACGAGATATCAAAGCTTGTATCATTAGTGTAAAATGGAAATATCAGCATTCTCTAAATAAAGATAAATATGTAATATTAGTAATGAATGTGAAATCGGCTGATGCTGAAATCCCCGTGACCGATTTTCTGATTCCTTCGGTAACACAATTCAGATCTGGTATTAGTAGAGATAACGATAATGCATGAATTACAGAAATGGTATAGATAATACATCGGCGACATACCTGTCAATTATGTGAGCTGGTGGTCTTAGTCTTTTATAAATCAGCCGGACCTTTGCAAGTTGCAAATGTGAAAAGATAGTTAGCGCATTTTCAAACGCGACAGACTATCCGACTAAAGGCACTAATGTTACCTATTACAAGTGTTGACGCGAGGCTTTTGCACTAGTTGTATAATAATATCGTGGCAGTGCCAATATTGTGCGCAGTTTGAGATGCTAATATAACAGCTGATTATTAATGAGCTTTATGGTTTCTGTTGCTTAGTTGCCTCGCTTTTCTACTTTATTGCTATCATAACACTCTTAGTTACGTCATTTCGCTCTCACAAAAGCGGACCTATTATGAGACCATCCCATTCTTTAAGAGTTTAGTCACGCAGGGAGTTATCAAAAAACCAATGTTTGGATTTATTTTGATCGAAAACACGGTACTCACGGTCAACTTACTCTTGGTGGTTATGATAGCTCTTGTTTAAGGAAAACCTTCAGTTCAATAATGTAATCGATTAATAGGTGGGAATTAGAGTATTATCAATACTGACTTGAGCTAGAATAATAGTAATAAATTGCACACACGATCAACATCATGGCTAAGGAGGAAACGTAGAGGAAATATAGAAAAAAAGAAAAAAAAGCAAAGGTGAAGAAAACAAAACAATTACTTGTCTTGTATATGATACCTTTATCCGACCACTTTAATTGCAACAATAATGACAGATTAAAATATGGCATTAACTATAAACGATCACAATAACAACTTTTTGTTTTTACCCTTTGAAAATAATTATCCACCGTTGATTGATTAAAACGCGCTATTCAATCACCACGAAATAATTTTGCGTTTTTGAGAAACAATCGCTTGCTTTGACTTTATCCGATCACGCCACGTTAACTACGATGTCGAAAGTCGCTTGCTTATTATGTACGATAAAGCTTAATCGACGTTTGTGAAAATAGTTACTTGCATTGTGCGTTAAGACTATCTTCACAAATATTTTGTCAATAACTCATATCATAACCAGACTAATAGATTTATTAATACACTATACGTGTATTAACAAGCGTTAATATTGATTAAACCCACATTTAAGAGTTATTAATAAGAAGTTTTACAGGACATTGACAATGTTTTCTAATAAATAAATTAGAATTTCAGGTATGAATTTATTTACCCAAATACTGTAAGCAATTAAATGTAATATTAGTTAACAAGTATTGTAATTATAATCGTTTGTATGCTATATAAGCCAATAAGTATTATTGAGAATGTTGCAAAGATTACTTGAAGTGAAAAGACGACCAAACGAACGGGAACAAATTAAATAAAATTACGCATACAGTCTCAATTATTTCGTAGGTTCGAAACTAATAACCCAGAACCGGAAAGAGTCGATATCAAATATTCCTCTCCTACAAACCACCGTGCCTACGCCGTCAGGAACGGTCAGCTCGAAGAAAACTCTACGAGTACCGAATACTGTGGGCTAAAATAATATAAGAAAAAAAGGCTTAATTAAAAGTTGTTGTAAAAACAAGGTATTTATTTAATTACAATTTTACCTGACTAGTAGCGTTAACAACTACAGGTGACTCGCATTTAAGTATTGCTGTAACTTTATCTACAAATATATTTTTATAATTTAAACCCTTGTTTTCAATATGTTAGTTCTCCGAATACAATATTAATATTAACGTACCATCATCCTCGTATCCGTTACCATACCATATATTTTCTACAATGTATTTATTGGGGTTGTTTTTGACCGCATGGACAAGAACTGGTGTAGGCAGAACTTCGTGAGATGGTATTCGCTTGGCAACAGTAAAAACAGCCAAGAGGAGAAGAGAAAGTATAATAATGTGCGTAAATTTCATGATTTTTTTGTATTACTTCAAAGCTTGCAAAATTTTTTTTACGACAGGTCAACGGGGTTTTGAAGATTTATATAAAACAACAGCAGTCGATGATCAGATCTCCAGAATCATGTGGTAAAAATGAATAGAATTGACAATTTTGCTAATCAGTATTGCTATTCTGTTCACGTTTAATGAATTTTGTTATGCTTTCGGACATGTGTTCAAATAAGAAATTGAAAAGATCGGAGACAGAACGTTAACAGGCAGGGAGATTAAGGAAATACCGAGTATCATATGAAATCCACAACTCTAATTCAGTAGTCAGTTCAAAACCATTTGCTCTGAACGCTCGTGCTTGTCTGACTAAACCTGTTTAAATGAAGAAATCTTAGAGCCCGTTTGTTGAGCAAAAATTAGAAAAAAGCAATAATTTGTGGTTTTACTCGAGAAATATAGAAACATTACAAAAGAGGACAGGACGTGTGAAGTTCAGCGTCTAGATTGAGGTAAGTTTTACCTCATGCTAAAGCACGTTTTGTTGTGTATATGTATATAAGATAAATTAGTTGATTTTATTAAAATAAACCCACTCTATTTTGCCTTTATAGTTCAAAACTAACTTAATTGATGATACTTTCCTTCCGTTTTGCATCAACATTTAATCGATGTACTGACGCAATTAGGGTCTAACTTTTTTTATTGAGTAATTAGCGTCGGCAGAGTTTAATTTCCTAAGGGTAAACTGTAGAATGTACATAAATCGCTAATATCGGCAATACTCCAGAGATTTTTATTGAATTTACAGGACTGTTAAAAACCTAGTACTTCAGGCAAATAAAACCACCATTCATTTCTTTACGTCTCTGGACTCTACATATCTGCGATGCATTCTAAATTGGTGACGATTATGCTCACATGTAATAACAGCAACAAAAGTTTTTTTTGCCTGACCGAAATCGCATTTTAGACAAGTCGGTTCATTATATCCTTTAACTGTTAGATAAATTTTTATGGTACTCATTAGTTTATCGTTTCTACATATTTGAAAATGCAAGATGTGGGACTTGGGGAATGATCTTGCTTTCTGGAGGCGATATGGTAACTGATGATCTCGCATAGCCATTTTGAGACTACTTCTAATCATAACACTGCCATTATTCTCTGATTGATAATAGAAAAAGCTGGAGGTTGAGGAGTTGATTGATTCGTAACACAATGGAGAATAACAACAGCCAGCGTTGACTAGATTAAAGTTGTCATTAAGGCTAGCGACATCCGACAATCATTTCACCGCGCCAACATCTGGTCAGCAAAAAATGGCTAATGAGCGTCACACGCCATCACCCCAACGTCAACTCATTCCCAAATATGTTATTTACCTTCCATATGACTTTGATATCCACGAGAAAACACACAATTATTTCATTTCTCAATTTGAACTCGTTCAATTGGATAAGCACGAGCGTTCAAAAACTGCAATCTTAAAAGTTAATTTTCTGTCTCCACCTTTGTATACATCCAACATCCAAACCGGTATCTTGATTCGAACAAATGTCCGAAACATAATTGACTTATCCTTTTGGCGTTAACAAAATGGCAATCACATGTAACAGATGTAACAGCTGAACATGCGGGATAGCCAATCTATCACTTTTACCACATGATTTCGAAGATCCGATCATCGCCTGCAGTTGTTTTATATAAATCTTTCCAAACCCGTTGACATGTCGTAAAGAAAATTTTGCAAGTAAAAAAAAAGATGAAATTTGCACACATTATTATACTTTCTCTTCTCCTTTCGGCCGTTTGTGTTGTCGCCCAACAGCGTGCAACGATAGTACCCTATATACCGGCCCGCGAAGTACTGCCTTTACCGGTCTCTGTTGAAACGGTCGATGGCAAACCTGATGAATACATTGTGAAAAGCTCGTTGTATGGCAGCGGATATGAAGTATATGGTACGTGAAGATGTTTGCATATTAAACATATGTCTCTTGTATAAGTATACCGTACCGTAATGCTTACAGATTCATTTTCTCTAGATGGAGTTACGACCAAACTCACATGCGAACCCGGTGTGAAGGTTATACAGTATCCCGTGACAGTAAGTAATAAATAGAATCGACTACATTTGCTTTTATATTTTGAAACAGCTTTTTAACTTTTTTTTTTTTTCTAAAAGGCTCAGCTCAACCAACTTGACTCCTTTAAAACCAACTTCAGATTGAAAGTTCCTGCCGATAAGAAGATAGTAACTTGTGTTAGAAAAGTGGCCGATAAAGATGGTTCTAGGATTATTTCATTTAGTTTTAATCCTACACACTAAAAACATAATTGAAGACGTTGAACAACGCTAATTTATTGCTGTTCGTTTGTAGTCGCTACTCCCAAGTAATGTTAGCAAATTTACTCGATAATACTTAATGACTATTAGTAAATATTAATATAGGCTTTGATGCACCCGAATATTTTATAATTATAAAGTAAAGCAAAGATCAGATATTTTCTCTAATGAATATTGTTGGGTTGGATAAAAAATATTTGATTACTTGCATAATTGGCTGTCTCAATTCTGAACTGAGACAACTGAATGTCTTCTCAGCGCATAATTTGAATTTACAAGTTAGTATTGTGTCCATGTAATAGGGTAAAATACTTGATTTAGATTAACAAACATCCCGCACAGCACATACCATTGGATACTAGTAACACAGCTAATACTAGTCAATAATTCTGACACATGTTGCGTGCACTAGATAATGACGTATGGTATTTGTAGTCTTTGTGTAAACCGTCAGATTGCATATTACTATTACATTATATATTGAATGAGTTAAAATTTTGACCATTGAATAACAGTTTATATTGTACCAAAATTGAGTAAGATTTGGAAGTTTTATAACAGTCTGAGACTGAAGACGGTTCGAGGTTGTCACAGCCCAGAAGTCAGTCATCCCAATCCAGAGTCTGGAGATACAAATGAGCAAATAAACTGGACAGGCCTCTTGTTCATCATTGAAAACAAACGTTGACGTCTTTTAAACGAGAGTTTATATACCTTTTTGTTAACGCTATTCCGAGGCATGTGACTTTTATTATTGGTTAACCCATACGTGGGGAGAATGCCACAATAAGTCATCCATGGGTCTTGTTTGGTTAGCGTTATGCATAAAAGTCTGTTTTTATAAAGTACTGCTTCTATGCGATGCTATTCTACTCTATGCATCGCAGCCGTTTCTACAAGTTTCGCTATGTGTCGTGTCTCTTTCATCCAAGCATAATTGGCATCCGTTTATATGTACTGTATATGTGCCACAAATGAATGATCTGCGCTTTATTTATTTGGTCCATTATTTAAGGTCCATTTAATAGAATACTTATTCAAAGTACTGTATTATTTTCATAATGTCGATCAGTAATCCATGTAAATTTCGGTGAAAAGTTTTGCTTTGTTCTGTTTATATATTTATTACATTTATAGAAACTGTTAACACAACAAACCACATCGAGTACATCTTACATGGTTTATTCCGAAGCTAAAGCAATGGCAACAGCGAGGACAATCGCCATATAATTGCTGACTGAAAAAACACGGCAAATCGGTCAAAATATGATTTGACATATGGAAATTTTCCATATCTCCCCTAACGTCGTAGTTACTAGGTACATCGGTCAGGAAGAAGGTAAATCCTCCACTGACCGCTATAGTAGAACTGAATACATCCGAAAAAGATAAACCAATGTATTAATGAAACTCTGACATTCCATCTTAATGCCGATCGATTACCTCCAGTCCTACAAGTTCTCTTACCAAAATGCAATATGACGACTTACATTACGCATTGGCTTTAATTTATTTACTCTCAAAAATTGTTATTTTTCGATAGTGGAATATTTTATGTTGTAATATAATACCTAGCGCTAGCAAATGCCGGGAAGTGACGGTATAATCGCCATTACTTACCTTTCAATAGTAACCAACATTACGCCGCCGATTTATGCTAGTTAAGCAGTTGAATTGTTTGCTTTTCCAATTTTCCATAACAGTACTGATTTTGGAATAGAAAAACATTAATCCAACCCTTTTATTAAGTTACTCAACCGAAATGTGCTATATCGAAGGAGTTTTGAAACAAATTCTTATAGCTAGCGTTGACAAGTTCCGTCTTAAATACTTATTGCAAGGGGTATGCTATTCCAACTTTAAACGCAGATTAGTTTATACCATTTGATAGAAGTATTTCCTGTCTATAAAAATGTCAGGTGACTTGTATGCTATCAACATTTTAAACCCCTGCACAGGGGCATGTGGTAATAGACACCCTTGCTAAATCTATTTGGAATAAAGTTGTTATTATCGTGATAGTTATTTACAAAATACACGTCTATATATATGTACGTAATGTTAAATAATTACCCCCCTTTATGCCAGGTCCAACAATTGCATCAGGAGCCGCTCCACTATCCTTATTCATTTGTTGATACGTCTTCCCTAGTGTTTCTATGTATGTCATTAACCAGTCTTGCGAACGAGCATATGTGGCGCCATCTACATGCGATCCAGTAGACTTGTCTCCAGTAGCACAGCATCTTTTATATTTGTCATTCCTTTCGGCAAAAATCCGATTGCTTTTGGGGTAACATAGTCTGTCGTAGTCGTTAGACCAATATCAGTTGCAACCTTTTCAATGCTCGTAACCAGTGCCGCACCGGTAGTATATTGAGAATGCAGCTGTATAATCCGTTAGCTTTTTACCATTGTCGGACTAGCTTACACCTGGGAGAGCGGCGGTGTACTAGCCGTTTTGGGATTTAGTTCGTTTCCAACGGAAGCT